TTTTTTAAAAAAAAAAAAAAAAAAAACCATAAAAATTGAAAAACACAAAGCCAAGAAGAGGAAAAAAACCAGTGAAAAAATTACAGCTGACCCTTGAGAAACGTGGGGATTAGAGATGTCAACCCCCACGTAGTGAAAATTGGAGTATAACTGGTACCAGTATAAATTTGGTGCAGCACTGTGGAGCCCCTAGTGAGGTGAGAGTGCATTGTTGCCTAAATAGTAGTTAAGTATTTAACTACTAATAGCCTACTGTTAAGCAGGCTAGCTAACTGTTTGGAATGCATGACATACCTAATCAAAAATTTCCAATATATTTATCGAAAAAAATCTGTGTATGAGTGTACCTGCACAATTCAAACAATGTTGTTCAAGGGCTTGCTACAGTCTTTGCAGACTTGGAGAATCTTTTTACCTATCCATAAATCTAGGTAAACTGTGAAGAGCCAAGGGTTACCTGCAAAGCTTCAAAAAGGTCGTACATGTTCACTGGAGGCAAAGATGCAGGCAGAGTGTCCCCAGAGCATGCCAGCAGGAGTGCAGCCTGCTGCTCAGCATCATCCGGGGGCGGGTGAGAAGCTGGATTCTGACCAGCACAGGGAGCAGAAAAAGCTGGAGGGCTGAAAAAAATTTTTTCAGAATATTCCAAGCATCTACAATGTACACAACTGAACAACCAGAATAGGAGTGGCCTGCTAGAATATATCTGGTTTAAAAAATCTTAAAATCAATTAGAAATCTATTCAACGTACACTGATTTATCTATTTTAATTTTTAGAGGCAGCCCATCTATCAGGCTAGAAACAAAATATAATCCAACTGTATTTACTCTCCTTCCTCCACAATTTTAAAACATTTACTTAGCTCAGGATACTGAACCAAAATTGTTTCCTGCCCTTAAAGAGCTTCCGGTTGAAAAAAATAATAGATCTTAATTAAAGGAGTATGAAACTGAAAACAAATGACTTGGAGAGGAAGGCGAATGGTACTGGAGACAACAGGTTCATAAATAAAGAGCAAGAAAAGATACAGCACAAAAGAAGCAACAGGCAAAAATGGAGGGTGGAGAAAATTAATCCAGTCTTGCCAATCTCCCAAAATAAAGCATAGATACAAGCTGAGGAGTCAGGCATGATTTTTGCATCACAATAAAGTAGGAGATAACCTACACAACTGTGAGGAACAGACAAGGAGGTAAAAGAAAAGAGTGAGGGGGTAACTCAAAGAGCATGGGGAACAGCGGGAAGAAGCATCAGACAGAAGCAGCCCTGTTAGAGCAACAAGCAGCCCACAGAGAGGCAGAAGCCCTCCCAGGGACTGGCCAGCTCGAAGTCCAGCCAGGGTCAGAGACACTGCTCCCAACATTACCCACTACAACAAGCTACTTTTTTTATTTGTTCTTCTCTAGAAAAGAATGACTTAAAAATGAAAACAATCCCAAACAGACATGTCTGAACAAGATTTAGACAATACATCATCACGCAAAGCAATTTAAACAATGAACCCAACTCAAGATGGTGCTCTTCAAAACGGGCCTTGTGAGCCCTGTAAAGGTCTCCAGAGCCATGAAACAGGCACTGGTACACCATCTTCCGTGTGCTGTCAACACTACCTGCTCTGGCCCATTCAGCTTTCCCAACTACACTTCCTGATTTCCTCTGCTGTTATTTCTTTACCACTATCACTGCTAGCCCTCCCTATCGTACTTTTTACTCTGAACTTGTATCTCCCTGTCATCTCCTTACCTCTCTTCTCCCCAACTAACCAGATATACGAAGTCCAGAAATCAGAGGAAATTTAGTCACTTCGGTAACCATGAAAATCACACTATTGTTTTTTCTTTTCTGAAAGCTTAAAATTCAAACTAAATTGTGGGGGAGCGGGGAAGGGAAGGGTGAGAAAGACACATATGGATGAAGGCAACCTAAGTTGCCTCATAAAGGGATGATTCCAGACATGAGAGAGGTTCAGGGAGCCCTCAGTAGAATGAGGAATAGGAATCCCAGATGGGATGAGGGGCCAGATCTGCATAACAGGATGCCAAGAGCAATCTGATGACACCTTGCACAGCCACCGTCATGAGCTGCGGCTACAAGAGCCAGATAAGGACCTGAAGAAACATCTACTCCTCCTCCTCCTCTATCAAGAATCCCAGCCTTGACCCAACAATCACAGGCCATGCTTCAATTAAGAGCAGGACCACTTCCCCACTAGGAACTGCCCCTCAAGTGCCATCAGGACACACTGCCCCAGGGAACTACCACATTCCACCTCAAAAAGTGGTGATGCTGGGGGTGCAGAGGGGATCACTTTAAACCCATATGCAGCAGCCAAACTACGGAACTTCACTTCTAACAAAGAGTATCAAAATAATCCACTAGATACTATGCAAGGATGGGAGCTAAGAAAAGAAAATTAATTGTACTGTTGCCAAACGTACTTTAAACCTACAGAAATAATTGATTATTTAACAGTGGTCTATTACACGAGAGTTATGTATCCAACTAGCAAAGGATGGAAGCAAAAATCACAAGACACTTCATTTACCTTTCTATTAAGTTGTTGTAAGCTACTACACTATTCTTCAGGTATGGCTGTGGGGTCACATTACTACCAAAGGCATATTTAAAATGGCCATCTCGTAACCGATAAGCTTTCCTTCTTGACACAACTGATGTCAGTATATCTTTAAGGTGATTCTGTAAAAACAAGAAAAGAAAAATAGCATGATCTCCTCTTTAAAAGAAAATCACAAAACTTCCATTGATCAAAAATGTTTATTGACATTTAGATGGAGATGTGTGAAAGGTTAGCACATGCTAGAACCAAATGAATGTACACTAAAGAGCCACAGACCAATGCCAAAGGAGTAGGAGGGTACAGGAAAGCGTGAGACATGCTTATTTTTATTTACTTGTTTTTAAGATGGGATTGCTCCACATGAAATTTATTTTAGAAGTTTTATGTCTCTAAATTGGTTCCTCTCCCCGAAATGATTTTTAGACAGCTTTAAATAAAATGAAAAATAAAATGAAAGATAAATAAATAATTTTTAATAAAGAAACAAACTACCTTGAAACTTGTATCAAATGGGACAAAAAGTTTCAAGATATGGTGTTTATTGATTATAATACCAAATCTACCAAATCCTTACACAGAAAGAACCTTAGCTCTCTCAAAAGCCACATAAACTACATATATAGAAAATAAACCCACAAAAATTAGGCACTTAATTTAATTTCTCTTCACTTTTATTGAGAGCCAAGTACATAAGAGAAGGTTGGGGATGTCTGTGAAAATGGAGAGACAGGACTAGTGCCAGCCTACTGTTATTAAAATGGGAGCCAGGATCAGGCAGAGCGTTTCAATTATACTAATAAGACTATATTTTATCAAGACTTCATTATCTAATTTATAATGGATCTTCACACAAAATTCATTTATAACTTCATGAGACAGCTATTATTATCTTTGGGGTATAAATGAGGAAAATGAGGCCCAGAGAATTGGAAGGAATTACCCAATGTTGTCTGATGGTACCTTTGCACTAGAGACCCCAATATATATTTTGTCAAATAACTAAATGAATAAAATGAATGGATGAACAAAATACTGTGCTGAGACAAGAATCCTACTATTTGGACACCAAGTCTAATCCTCTTTAAATGCTGTACCACAGCAAAAACAAGTAACTTTAATCTTTAGGATTTTTCAAACTCGTTTCTGTCTTTAAAAACTGTACCCTTGTTCAAACACCAGATCAAGCAGAAGTATTATGCCATAAGTAAACTTTTCTGAAAAGCTTAGTCTATTAACTGAAGGCAATTCTTGGGATTGTGATGTGTTTCTCCTCTCAAAGGAAAACTTCAACAATCACAATTTTGTGAAATCAGAGTGACATTTTAGTTCTTTTCTTGCAATATCAACTTTAAACAACACATACAAGCTTGTCACATTCAATCTGTAAAATTATTTCTGCCACCAGCAAACCAACCTCCACCGCATAGACAACAGCTGAAACGGCTTCCTCGGTGACGTTGTCCAGCCCATGCTCATAAGCAGTCACTATCATCCTCCCTTCCAGCTGACCGCGAGTGGGAAGCATCATTGTGTGGGAACAAAGTTTCAAGTCGTCATCATCCTGGGGATCCTTTGCCACAAACTGCTGGGCTCCTGACAGGGGATTCTGAGGCTGGAATCTATGCTATGAGTAAGAAAACTTTTCAAAATTATTCATTACAGTGGCAAGTAATAAGACATAAACAAAAGTAACCCATGTATTCGACTTCAGAGCCTACAAATTAATGCCACCAAAACTATACCACAGGGGTAAAAAAAAAAAAAAGTAACTCGTGCACAAATAATCACAGATTCACACACCCATTACATGGCAATAATGAAGACATGAATTAAGGGGAATAATGATAGTATGCATAAGTTTATTCTATTCAATTAATATCTTGGTGATCACAGAATGTGTGGCCCTGTGCTAAAAATAACAATTAGGTTGAAGATACAGAACTACATTCAAACAAGTAAGAGCATTTCAAGTACAACTGTAAAAAGGTTCTGAAAGTATGAACATATGTATAATTAATGCTTCAATTAAGGCCTTAAAAAGCCTAACCAATATAACAGATCTAATAACAAATATTCCAAGATAATGCTGTGTAGTGTAACTACTTATTGTTATTTTCTACCTAACAATTTCTCAACTGTTATTTTCTGTCTAACACAGAACCTATCTAAGACATAGTTACACTACTTAAAAGTTTTTCTCAATCTCTTTTCATTCATAAAATCTCAGCCTTCCTCTGGGAGATTCTGAAAGCCCATTCATATTCTCCATCATCACTGGGAGATATGCCTCTACTAGCTTTTGTTTAGGCCCAAAATACAAGCTTTTGTAGTAAGGATGGTTTGTCCCTGTTTGAAGTTTTTATTATAAAAGCAACATTGTTATTTTTTCTATTTTCCAAGTATAAAACTATATTTTATATTAAACACGCCTTTTTATTTTTATTTTTATTTTTTTTTAAAAGATGACCGGTAAGGGGATCTCAACCCTTGGCTTGGTGTTGTCAGCACCACGCTCAGCCAGTGAGCAAACCAGCCATCCCTACATAGGATCCGAACCCGCGGCCTTGGTGTTATCAGCACCGCACTCTACCGAGTGAGCCACGGGCCGGCCCCTAAACATGCCTTTTTAAACCAGGTATGCTTCTCTGGAGATACTGATGTTATCCAGATTGATTATTACTACTCATATAAAATACAGAGCAAAGGTGTAAAGAAATAAATGTTTGTTGATATTAATCAATTAAGCTATCAATATCCAGTCAAACCTATAAAGGGATACTTCGGGGAAACGTTTTTCCCTTCATATTAACTGAAAAAAGGAAGTTATCCTAAAAGGTCTACAAACTTTATAGTCAAATGCCTTCATGACATCTCTAATGGTCTCCAAAAGGCTCAGGGCATCACCAGGAGCCTGTCAGAGGCCTCCAGACCACCTGAACCTTCAGAGCGGATGTCTTCAATCTGAGAAACATTACTCATTCAAGAAAAATATTTCAGAGTAGGAAGAACACAGGCATAGCTTTGAATCACTGAAAATTCATTAAATACTAATGATAACATTAATATTTAAGCAATAACAAACAAGAACTATAAAAATTCAGACACCTAGGAGTTCACAATCCTTGAAACCCTTTTCTCCCAAATCATACCTCCTTTTTTTTCAACTCTACAACTAATTCATTTAAAAAAGTAAAGCTAGTTCCATCACATCAGTACTTAAATCAGTCATTATCAAAATCTATTGGAGAAGAACCTACATCAAATTTCTGACGAACAGAAGGAAGTTTTTTCTTTCCCTTTGGCTTTCCAGGTTTGGCTGCAGACCCCCCCGTCCAGGGCAAAGATCCAGCACCCTCTATGAGACAGAAAAATAATAACCATAAGTGAAATAATGACAATTGATAACTGCTAAGTTTGTTTTCATTTTGGGCTTAAAAAAAAAAAGGCATGGAATGCTCAACATGAAAATAAGTAATAAATGCTTAAATTCAAATTTTTTCTTTCCACTTTTCTAAAATAAATCCTCTCAAATCACAACTTTTTTCCTAGCTGTAACTACAATTATTTTTTTAGGAAGATAAATTTGTTTTTTTGTTTTTAATTAATGTTTATTAAGTGGTTTGTTTATGAGTAGTAGTAGTATTATAAAAGTAGGAAAGAATTTTCTAGTCCAAGATGGTGAACTGAGCACATATATTTACCTCCTTCCTCTCTCTTCCAAGACCCTACTAAAAATGATAGTAGAGGAAGGTAAATGGCACACATCCACAACAAAGATAAAAAAGAAAATGAGTGACTGACAAGATAAGATCTCAACATATTTCTAAGACAGACTAAAAGGGTGTGACTTACAAAGCAGAAACATGGAAGTTGCAACCTAGGCTGCAGAAGGAAGGTGGCAAATGGCAGAAGGAAGCAAGTCAACCTGCCTAATAGAAACCCACTAAGAATCTGGATTTGGAGAACATGAGTACAGTGGAAACTAGGAGAGGTTAATAAGATTAAAAACAAGATTAATGGAAGGAAGGACTGTATTCAAAAAATCATACACATAAACTCCTTTTCTCTCACTCTGAGGACTGGGCTCAGTACAAAATAAAATATGGGGCCTCTTGTTCAAAAACTAAGAATTTCAAGATGACAGTACAGTACAGCACCAAACCAAGTGCAGGGCCCGTCTGTGCAACTGCAGCTCACATGCCCATGATGGCAGCAGCCCTGCTTGCTCCATGCACAGCTTTCCTCATGCACAGAATGACACAGAGCAGGACACTTATAATAGGTGGGTGGTAAGGTGGGAAGGGATGGAGGACTCTTCCCTAGTTAAACTGAACAAAATTTCTGGGATCTATTAAGGTAGTTGGTATGGATGTTGGTACCCTAGTGCAAAGCTCTCTCTATAGTGGTATTTGGGAGACCCCCGGTTTAATGGCTTGCTGTCAGCTCACTCTAAAGCAAAGTCTCCAGGTAGTTTTATACTTCATTCTTAAATATGAAAAGGACAACAATGAATCACTAGACATTTAACAATATTCTGTAACACGGTAAGAAAGACCAAGCTAAACAAACAACAGAGGTCCTAGAGAGAGAATGCAAAAGGACGTTGATAAATTTCTAACTGGTATCTTTAAACAGTTTGAGAAGACATGTATCCATAAAACAAGAGGATGCTATAAAACTGCTGAATTAAAGAATTAAACAGAAAGACTAAAAGAGTTGAGGAAATCTCATAAAACACAAAGAATTAGACAAAGAGATTTAAAAAAACAGTAAATCCAGAAATAGATTTAAGCAACTTTGAGGGGCTATGGCAGTCCCACCAGAAGAACAAAAACAAAAGTAGTTGCCTTTGTGAATAAGTCTGGGGGTACGAAGAAGCTTTCATCATAAAACCTGTTACTGATTTTTTAAAAAAACCATGAACATATATTGTTTAACATAACAACAACAAAAAAAGTAATACAAAAGCTCATTCTAGTACACTTGGAAAAAAATACCCAAAACATTATTTTAGGAAAGAAAAAAAAAATCACCCATAATCCTAGTAAAATGTTATTACCATTTTGATGTCTTTAGGAAGAAAAGTTTTTAAAGCTTTGAAAAGTTTACAACTTCCAAGTTCCTCAGTTAAAAAAGAACTCTTTGGGCCGGCCCAGTGGCGCACTGGAGAGTGCGCTGCTTGGGAGCGCGTCGGTGCTCCTGCCGAGGGTTCGGATCCCACGTGGAGACCGGTTCCCGCTCACTGGCTGAGCGCAGTGCGGGCGCGACACCGAGGGTTGCGATCCCGTTACCGGTCAGTAAAAAAGACAAAAAGGAAAAAAAAAAGAACTCTTTGGAAAGTCAAGTTCTTCTCCATCAGTCTCCAGACCTCACTTGATAAGGTCAGCCAATCTTAGATGATTTTCTGAAGAAATCTATTCCTGATAATGAAACTAGATGCTAGGTGATGACAAGAAACTAGGCTGAACCTGCAAAGGCTGATGCAAAGGAGCAGGCCTGCAAACTCAGAGCTTACACGCTCTGCTGTGTGGCCAAACACTGTGGGTGAGGAAGCAAAGCATGGTAAGGACCGACCCCGACAAAGGGAGGGCTTTTCAGCAGCAGTCACATTTCAGTTTTGATCCAATACTTCCACTTACCAGCTGCACAGGGCCTCAAGCAAGTTTTCTTTCATTTTGGTTTTTTTTTTTCTGAAGTGTGTTTCCTTATCTATGAAAAGAGGCTAACACCTAACCTCAGAGTTGCTGTGAGAATTAAAGATAATGCATGTAAAGTGTCTAGCATGCCGCAGTCACTCAATAAATACTTACTATTAAAGTCATTTTTTCTGCCTAGCTTAGAAAAACAGAAAACAATCCATTTACAGTTAACTTCAAAGAACTATATTTTACTTTTAATAGAAATCATTCTCTTTGTTGCTAGCAAATATTACTTTCATTTTGATGAAGTAAATTTTAGGTATTCAACAGATAAATACATTCTCAAATTCCAAATGGGATGTTTCTTCACTTATTTTAAAATATCAAAGGTTTTTAATTAAAATCAGCCATCTGTACTTACTAATTCCTTCATATTTGTCTGGCATTATTTCTTTATAAAAGCACTTATTTACATGTTCTTTCATCTGCTTTTTCATAATCCTATAGGGTAGATATTACTGTACCTATTTTATACATGTACAAGTTAAGAAATTCCAAGTAATTAATTGTATTATGTAAGCTAATGGTAATATCTCAACTTGAACCCATGTCTCTTGACTCCTATCAACCAGGATTTTATTTCTGATCATTCGACCTATCTTTTGGGTGTGTGTGGCACTTTACAGTATACCTACCAAAAAGTAAGAACTTGTCCTCACGATGTTGGATTTTCTGATCAAATTAAATTTTATACAACAAAGTGGATTATCTTTATGATCTAACTTTGGACATAAAAGAGGTATGGCTAAAGTCACTTCTATTTAAATTAAATAGAACATCAAAAATCTAATATAGTGTGGGGATGTGCAGTGGCAGGTATGGTGAGGGGTGAGGGAAGCAGTCACTACTCCCCAACACCAACCTCCACAAACAGACGCTCACTGTTTACTACACTCCACCTCAGTAGCAACTTCAAGGGAGGAAGAATTAGGCATTTGGAGATCTTATGTGAATTCTTTATCACACAATAGAAGTTAGCTGAGAGAGGTGATACAAAATACCAGCCTTTTCTAGATGGTACATGCGCTTTTCATATATGATCACCAGGATCACCTCAGGCCTGTAAAAAAATCTACGGCAGGAGGTATCTGCTAACTTAAGTTTTTAACAAAGTCAAGGACAACTTTTATCATGAGGGAAGTTTTCAATGCATTTAATTATCTGTTTTTAACTGACTGATTAAAATAAAATGGTTGAAAGAGGTGACATGCAAATTAATCTGCCACTTAAGATGAAAAATTGGGGGTAGAGGGATCAGGGTTTCTATTTATACCTCTTTAGGTTGCAGTAACAGGTTTAGTTTTCACCTACCTTCCCAAAGTGCTGCTACCTCCCCTACCTACTGTTCTCCACCAATAATTTGCCCAACAGAAATGCTGAAGCTCTAACCTTCCAGGTGCTGACATCTTATGAATACAAGTGAAAGTCCAAGTTTCCAACATATGTTGTGGTTTCCCCTCTCCATAATTCATTTCCCCTACCTCTACTGAATACCTTCTCCTAACACCAATGACTCCTCTTCATTCCCTCACCCTCTTCCTTACTTCTCATTTACTTAAGTAATCTAAAATGTAGCTGAGTAGGGAGTAAAGACCAAAAGTCAATGTAAGTACAGGGAAATCAGGTGCTCTGAAAAGGTTCTGTAGAAGAATGTGTATCTACATAATAAAATTTTTCTTCTGAGAAGTTCAAAAACCATTCATTTGCAAACACCAGATGTGTCTGATAGAGGAAGCGAAAGCCTAGGGCTCCGTAGCTTTGCCAACTGACATACACTAGAAGTATTTCCACTCCCTTACCTGGTGTAGAAACCAAAATCTGACAACGCGTTAGAATGGCCAGGAGGAAATCGTTGTGAGAATGGACTGAAAAAGGGAAGATTGTTACAAGTCAAATACAGAATTTTTCTTTCTTTTCTAGCCCCTGAGGAAGCAAACAGACAATATATTTTCAAAATAAGGAAGCCACTACTTTAGCTTGTAAGGATTTTGGATGTCCCCTACTCCACCATTCTTTACCCTTAATTTTAAATATCCACATTATTAAGATGACCTCACACAATATTAAAACCAAAATTTATTTTTCAAAAAGAAAAAGCACTTTAATTTATGGCAAATCTGGGAAAACTTCAAAACAGTAAAATAACTCCCCAGATAATTATTTTACCATTATCCTGTGTGAGAAGTCTATGAGCTTCAAGGTCAAACTCTTCTTTGCTGATCTTCTGCTTGAACCACAACTTTAAGTTAGCCCAGTATCTGCAGAGGCAGAAACAACATTAAGAACCACAGATTTTGCTTCTTCCCCAAGTTCACCTTGCCTGCTCCAACTCCCAGGAAAGGAAATTTTGCATTCCCTAGTGTTACGGGCTGAAAATATCCCCCTAAAATTCATATGTTGAAGCCCTAACCCCAGTACCTCAGAATATGTGCCTGTATTTGGAGATATGGCCTTTAAAGCGGTAATCAAATTAAAATGAGACCATTAAGATAAACCCTAACCCAATGACT